TATATTAATATTTGTAAGTACAGGTAGTTACTTATTAAGTGTGCACTTGAGTAATAATTCTACTGCAATAAACCCAAAGTCCATTTCTAACATTTTGCAGTATCACATTGCATCTTGAACATTAAATTAAATTAGAACTAACAGAAAAGCTTTTATATGTTCTACTCCCTTAATTCTTTGTATTGAAAATGGTTCTAGAATAAATATGACTAATGATAATGTGTGTCAGCTAAAATATTTTTGGTTTGATAAAATTTAACTTTTTCCTTTAGGATGACTTTAAATGCTACTCCTCTCAATATAATATGAAAATATCTAAGGTCATTTGATCTTTACTTAGTACGGTTTTAAAAGCATTGTTTATTACTATGTAAAAATATTTTAAATAATGCCATAGATTGGTATAACTGAAGCAAAACATAGCTTAATGGGCTGGTATCTTTTTGGAGTGATTATTCACCATAATTCTGCTCACACATGCTCTGCGTAACACGATCCTTAGTAAATGGAATCATCCACAATTCAATCACAGTTAGTGTTTGCTATTCTGCCATAGAAAGACTTTTGCTAAGTGTACTTTTATACTTTAGTTACCAACCAACATTTTCTGAGGTCATGCATTTTTGTAGTATCAATAATAGCATAAAAATTATCTTTTTAAATAAGTACTATTCTGGTACTTCCTTTAGTAAATTCCCAGACTTAAAGGATATAAGAGCTGGATGGAACTATGCAAATCATCAGTTCTAACACCTAGCACCTTTTATTTCACAGAGTAGAAGAGATATAGCTGGAGAATTTGGGCCCAAGGGCTCACATCTATTTTTTAACCTCTTGGTCTTTTCTTTACTTTATTTATTCATACATTTGACAATTATTTCTTTAGCATATACTGTGTGCTATGGGTTCTACTAGGCATAGGTGACGTGATGGTGAGCAAAACAAACAAAAAAGACAAAATGTTAATTCTGTAGGGAGTTTAGAGTCTACATTAATGTCTAAAATTACAACTGTGATAACTGTGAAGCAGATAAGTGTATATATATATCCACTTTATATATATGTGTGTGTATATACATATATGTAGATATATGTATATGTACATAATCATATATCATATATGTATCATATATATCACATATATCATATGTATCATATATACATAATCATATATATACATATATATATATATATAGAGAGAGAGAGAGACAAACATAGTATAAGTAATTAGGAAGGTTTTCCTGAAGAAATAGAATTGAACTGAAATCTGATGGAATTATACTGGTTGCCTAGGTGAAGGGCTTAGTGACATGGGTTAATATCTGGATGGAGTAGTCTAAGCACAGCACACAGCATGAGGAGAGGCACTTTTTCAAGATTCACTATTGCAATTTGGGGAAATGAAACAAGACCGTTGTGTCTGGAAGACAGAGAGTAAGGGCTGGGTCTTTGGCAGCTGAAGCTGGCGTGGGAGTCAAGAGCAGGGGATCCAGGATCTGGAGTCTATGGCAGCAGCATTTGACTATTCCTTCAAATGAATGGAACACCAAGAAACTATGTTAGCAATGGGAAGAGGTGGTGAAATGGCTGTGTGTGTCTCACTAAAACAACTCTGGTAACAGTATAGAGAAGGAATAGGGGAAGAACCTGACTAAATATTAGTAGACCAGTTAGGAAGCTATTACAGTAACACCTGCTGTTAATTTGATTAGGGTGATAGATGGAGGAATGGAAGGATTTAAAAAAATTTATGAGACATAAAAACAAGAAGATTTCGTTTCAATATTATCCATATTATTTACTAAATATTTATTTAAGTATTAGGCCAGGAACGGTGGCACATACCTATAATCCCAGCTACTCAGGAGGCTGAGGTGGGAGGATCACTTAAGCCTAGGAGTTCAAGACCAGCCTGGGTGATATAGCAAGACCTTGTCTCTAAAAAGAAATACTTGTTAAGTATCAGCTGTCTTGTGTTTACATACTTTTCTTATTCAATTGTCACAAAAACTCTCTAAGGGAACTACTCATCTCCACATTTCAAAGGAAGCTGAGGCTCTGAAGGGTTCAGTCCCTTGCCCAGGAGAAATTGTTGGTGCTGGGAATATAACCAGGAGCAACTGGCCCCCAGAGCTGTTTCTGTGACCACAGCCAGTGCCTCCCTGCCACATGTCTCAATTGTCCCTGTCCCCACATGCCCACTGGTGAACTGGTGCTGGTCCCTAATGATGATTTCATCAAGCCTAAGAGAAATGAGGAAAATGAAAGTAATGCAACTCTTTTCACTGAAGTCTATTCAATTCTGAGATTATTTTCATCGTTCTTAGGCTTCATATGTCTTTAACAAAATGATGTTGATGGCAGTTGATAGTTTGTTTTCTTTTTTAATGTTCTTAAAAATATAGTTCCCCTAACCCCCCAAAAAGAATATTAGCTAGAATGTTAGAATTAAAAGGAAGCTTTTTGGGTTAAACTTTGCTATCTCTCACTTTTTGCTTAAAAATATCTAACTAAATACTCCTCTGCACCAGATGACATTTTAATCATCTGGACTGTTATAATGTTATTTTCATTTAATCCTGCATTAATTACCATACCTCCTAAGATTTCTTATAATCAGCATGTAAGACATGTTTGTCATTGTTTCTTTAGCCTCATCACCTCTTCCAGCACCCTTTTTCTCCAGCCAAAATTCAGCCATGAGTTCAGTTCACCACAAGTATTTCTATGGCAAATAAATAATTATACTATATTGAAATATTTTTTTAGTAGTCACTCACTTTTTATATTCACACAATTTAGTTGCAACAAATATATCTTAGAAGTATTTTTCTAATCAAACAAAATATGCACAGGGTACTTGCTTAAAATTTTCGATGACAATATTTTTCCATAACCTCGCGTAATAGACAATTCTATGTCCTTAGGCATACTTAGAGATAGTTGTCATACTTATTTATTTTGAAACTAAATACTGGAGTCTCTTTTTAATTGTTTCCTTTTAACCCCTTTCCTATTATTTTAGGTTGCTTTGCACTTAATCATTCAATCATAAAATAGGCATTTTTTTGGTCTAAATTAAATTAATTGAGTTGGTTAAATCATGGTTCTGATAAGACTTTACTATATGTTCAGAGTGGCTGGTGCCAGTTAGCGGGATTCCGTTTCTAAACCTCAAACTGCACATCCAACATCAGGCAGCTTTCTCAGGATTTTTTATTGTTAGTCATAATGAAGACTAGACAAATGCATAGTTAAATCTAATATTATACTTTATTTCCCTGTAGGACATTAATCAGTTTTCTACCTAATGTAGCAATGTTACCCTAATTTTCCTTTATTAAATTTCTTTTAAATGTGTAGTTGAATAAATCTGTGATGTGTTCGTTTTATATTAATATTTTAAGACCCATGTTTTAAAAACTTTTTAAAAGTTATGCCTCAGAAGTTTTGGAGTATATTCTCTTAGATGCTCAAGTGCACTAATATGACGGAAAGACAATACATCTACATTTTTTTGAGAAGTATCCCTCATGAGCTGTTTAACCTTGGTCGAGGGTAAATCCCAAACAGCAATAAATTTTAACTTTTTAACTCTTTCTCTAGATTTTTTTTCCTCCTGACTGATTTAGTCGTTTTGTTTTTTGTCGCTGGTTAATGCATGGCCAATAAATTATTTTTTGTTGTCAGCAGCAGACAAGAATTTTGTTTTTCCCTATCAATTGATAGTTTCTGTTAGATAAATGATAAAGATCTATTCTTCCTTTAGTAAGAGATAACTGAGAATCTGATCAGTGGGGTTTTTTGTCTGTCTGTCTCTTGGTCTATAGGTGACTTTCGATAAATTAAGAATGTCATTCATAACAACTCCTTGAGATTCTGACTGGTGGGTTTCTGTTTCTGTGCTTACCTTTTTCCTATGGTTGGAGACGATGCAAAACTCAATCTAAAAGCACTCAGTGGATCTGTGTCTGTGTTTTTGTGTCTGTAATTAATAAAATCAAGACTTCTCTCACTGTGGGAGTATAAAATGTTTTCCTGCCTTGGTCTCCAGCCTCCAAGGTGACCCCAGTCACTGCCTCCTGGTGTTCACAGTCTTTTGTAGTTTTCTTCCACATCGTACCAGCGTTGGTCTGGGTGGCCAAAACATTATGGCAGATGTGATGATATATGAACTCTCAGACTAGGTTATAGAAAAGGACAGAGGCCTCCTTCTTGGATATGCTTTCTTGCTCCCTCTCTTGCTCTGGGAAAACGCCATGCTGTGAGAAACACAGTGAAGAGACTCGGGTGGTGTGAAACTGAAGGACACAGTCAGGGAGGAACTCAGGCTCTACGTGAGTGTGGTTGGAAGTTCCTGCCCTATGGAGCTTTAAGATTATCACAGCTCTGGACAGCAAACAGTCTGATTGCAAACTCAGGAGAGATCCTAGACAGAGCCACCCATCCATTCCTGCATTCCTGACCCACAGGAACTGTGTGATGTAATAAATGTTTGTTATTTGAGGTTGCTAATTTTGGGGATACTTTGTTAAGCTGTATTAGATAACCAATACACCTACCTCTACAGAGTAGTAGTACATTAACATCTCTCAAATTTAAAATTGTTCTGATTGATTTGTAATGATAAGTAGTAGCTTATATAAATCTAGTATCCCCAAATTCCATAATAAATAAGAAAACTGAACATCTAGTAATTTCTTTAAATTTTTATTTTTTATTTCAGAATATTATGGGACTACATACATTTTGGTTACATAATTTGCTTTTGTACAGTTTGAGTCAAAGTTATTATACCGGCTGCTGGTGTCAGTATTTTCGTATTTTTGATGCCGAGAATTCTCTGCAATGATTTTGGTTTCTTAGTGTCTCTGGGGAACACTTGGCCTAGATCTTCCTCCAGAATTCAGCCCAATTCTTCCCAGAAGCTTTGCTTGAGTTCACAGATGACCACTAAGCTTCAGGCTCCCTAGAGAACTAGGGTTGCAATCCAATTGGCCATGCCAGCTAATTGGACCCCACCCCAAATATCCCCAGCTCTGGCTCCAGAGGATTATGGCAGCTCATACGAGGGATCAGTGTCCTTCAGGAATGTGGCTATAGATTTCAGCAGAGAGGAATGGCAGCACCTGGACCCCTCACAGAGAAACCTTTACCAGGATGTGATGCTGGAGACCTACAGCCACCTGCTCTCAGTGGGGTACCAAGTTCCCAAAGCAGAGGTGGTCATGTTGGAGCAAGGAAAGGAGCATTGCAGGGTGAGAGTCTACATCAGAGATGTCCAGGAGAAAAATTACTGGACCATAATCAATGTGGAAAAATCCTAAGTTATAAACAAACATCCTCTCAACATCAGAAAATATATACTGAAGAGAAATCCTACAAATATGACAAATTTCAAAAGATCTTCACCCAAAAGTTACAGTTTAAGGTACTTCTGAAAGGTCATATAGGAGAAAAACTGTATGTATGTACTGAATGTGGCAAGGCTTTTGTGCAGAAGTCAGAGTTAATTACACATCAGAAAACCCATACAAGAGAGAAGCCCTATAAAGGCAATGAATGCGGAAAATCCCTTCTCCAAGCATCTTCTCTCTTTAGGCATCAGAGAATTCATACCAGAGAAAATCTCTATGAATTCAGTGAATCTGGGAGAGGTTTCCCTTATAACACAGATCTCAATATACATGAGAAAATTCATACTGGAGAGAGACACCCTGAATACAGAGATTGTGGCAAACCCTCCACCCTCAAGATAAATGAGGAAATTGATACAAGTGAGGGATCCTATGTATGTATTGAATGTGGACAGGTCTTCATTCAGAAGACAGAATTGATTACACATCAAAGAATTCATATTGCATAAAAACCACATGAATACAGTCTCTGTGGGCAACCCTTCATTTCCAAGTCCAAACTTGAGGCACATCAACAAAGTCACACAAGAGTGAAACCCTATGTAAGTACAGAATATGGGAAGGTATTCAACAATAGTTCCAACTTCATTACACATGAGAAAGTTAAAATTAGAGAAAAATCTTTCATATGTACTGAATGTGGAAAGGCTTTTACATACAGGTCAGAGTTGATTATACATAAGAGAATTCACACTGGAGAGAAACCTTATGAATGCAGTGACTGTGGAAAAGCCTTCACTTAGAAGTCAACACTCACAGTGCATCGGAGAATTCATACAGGAGAAAAATCATATGTATGCATGAAATGTGGGCTAGCTTTTATCCGGAAGGCACACTTGGTTGCACATCAAATAATTCATACTGGAGAGAAACCTTATGAATGTGGTGACTGTGGGAAATTCTTTACTTCCAAGTCACTACTCCATGTGCATAAACGAATTCACACAGGAGAAAAACCCTATATGTGCAGTAAATGTGGGAGGGCATTCACCAGCAGGTCAAATCTAATTACACATCAGAAAACTCACATAGGAGAGAAAGCCTATATATGCTCTAAATGTGGAAAGGCCTTCACTCAGAGGTCAGACTTGATTACACATCAGAGAATCCATACTGGAGAGAAGCCTTATGAATGCAGTACTTGTGGAAAAGCCTTCACGCAGAAGTCAAACCTCAATATACACCAGAAAATTCATACTGGAGAGAGACAATATGAATGCCATGAATGTGGGAAAGCTTTCAACCAGAAATCAATACTCATTGTGCATCAGAAGATTCACACAGGAGAGAAACCTTATGTATGCACTGAGTGTGGAAGAGCCTTCATCCGGAAGTCAAACTTTATTACTCACCAGAGAATTCACACTGGAGAGAAACCTTATGAATGCAGTGATTGTGGGAAATCCTTCACATCCAAGTCTCAGTGCCTGGTGCATCAGGCGATTCACACAGGAGAGAAACCCTATGTGTGTGCTGAGTGTGGGAAAGCCTTTAGTGGCAGGTCAAATCTCAGTAAACACCAGAAAATTCATACAGGAGAAAAGCCCTACATGTGCTCTGAATGTGGGAAGACCTTTAGACAGAAGTCAGAGTTGATTACACATCACGGAATTCACACTGGGGAGAAACCTTACGAATGCAGTGACTGTGGGAAATCTTTCACTAAGAAATCACAGCTCCAAGTCCATCAGCGAATTCATACAGGAGAGAAACCTTATGTGTGTGCTGAGTGTGGGAAGGCCTTTAGCAATAGGTCAAATTTGAATAAACATCAGACAACACACACAGGAGACAAACCCTACAAGTGTGCAGTCTGTGGGAAAGGCTTCTTTCAGAAATCAGTGCTCAACATGCATCAGAGTATTCACACTTGAGAGAAACAGAGGGAGAAAACCTCACTGAGGTCAGGTTTGATTGTACATTATTGAATCCATGCAGCAGGAAAATATGTATATTATTTGAACTAGGAATGCCCACATCAGAATGTCATACAGTATTGTTCAGAAAAGGATGTCTGAGAAAGCACTGAATGAGGTGAGGGAAGCTTCCCACATTGTCACTAGCTTCATTAAATCCTGGAACATTCATCCTGAGAAGGAACCAAGTCAATTGGGTGGATTAGAAAAAAGCTTTTTAAAAAAAAAAAAAAATATATATATATATATATGGAGAGAGAGAGAGAGAGAGAGAGAGAGAGAGAGAGAGAGAGAGAAAGAAAAAGCCTTCTCAAGAAAACTACAATGGAACTCTGTTACCAAATTCTTCATAAGAAAGAGTATATTAAGTTTGGTTAAGGATATTCCTATTTCCTGTGGAATACATACAAGTACCAACAAACTGAATGCTAAAACATGGTGGTGATAAATCCTATGTTCTGTGAGTTGTTTATTGCAGAACACATTTTCTAACAGAATTGTGACTGATTTTTTATTCTTTTATTGAATCTAACACGGTTATGTTTATCTAATCTGCCATTGCATATTTTTATTGAAAAAGACTGTAATAAAAATATTCCTTTTGTATACAGAAAAAAATGTTTTAAAATAGAAATTATACCATTCATCTTCTCAGACAAAAGTGGAATAAAATTAGAAATCAACTACAACAGAAACTCTCATCTCTACACAAATTCATGGAAACTAAACAACCTTTTGCTGAATGATTATTACATTAATCAGTAAATCAAGATAGAAATCAAAAGATTACTTGAACTAAATGATAAAGGAGACACAAGTTACCAAAATGTGAGGGACACAGCTTAAGCAGTACTGAGAGGAAAATTTATATCCATAAATGCCCACATCCAAAAGCCAGAAAGATCACAAACTAACAATCTAATGAATTGTCTCAAAGAACTGGAAAAGGATGATCAAACCAACAACAAACCCAGGAGAAGAAAAGAAATAACAAAGATCAGAGCAGAACTAAATGAAATTATAACAAAAAACTATACAGAAGATTAATAAAAAAGGTTGGTTCTTTGAAAAAATAAACATAAGTGGCATGCCTCTTGCTAGATTAATGAGAAGAAGAAAAAAAGGACTCTAATACGCTCCATTAGGAATGCATCAGGAGACATTACAACTGATACCACAAAAATATAAAATATCATCTATGAATACTATGCAAACCTCTATGCACATAAACTGGAAAATGTGGAGGAAATGGACACATTGTTTGAAACACATAGCCTCCCTAGGCTCAATCAGGAAGAAATAGAATTCCTGAACAGATCAATATCAAGTATTCAAATTGAAACATCATAAGAAACTTCCTAAAAAGAAAAGTCCCAAACCAGATGATTTCACACCCTAATTTTACCAGACCTACAAAAGAGAAACCCTTCTCTACTATGACACTTCTTCTCAGCAGGTTTTGGATTCAGAAACCAAGCAGATAAATACGAGGTTCTAAAATCACAGACAAGTTTTAAGTTGCATCTGAAACATTTGGAAGCAAGTGACTCTGGTGTGTATTATTGTCGCCGTTTGGGTAGCGCACAGTGATTCACACCTGCCCTATGCCACGCTAAAAACCTTGCTTGTGGCTGTTCCTGGCACACAATATAGACCAGCTCCTGTCTCACTTCCTGCTCTGACTTCACGGAATGCTGGACAAACATAAACCTGAGTTGAAGGCTAACCAAGCCCTGTTTCCATCCACTCCTTTGTCATCAGGTGTACCCTGCCCCAACCTCCCCCCAGGATGCTCCTGAAGACTGAGGTACCTTTTCCAGGCCTAGCCCAGCATTCTGGTTGAAAGCATGCTCTTTTCAGCTTCTTTTAGGGTGATGGGGTCTATTCTCTTTGCTTCCTGAGACAGTTAAGTGCCTGGAGGTTTGATATGAATATGGAGACTGTATGGATAGCATTGTTGAAGGTTAGTTGTACTGAATTATTTATCCAATCATTGCTTGAAATCATGCTGGGAATGTTGTTTGTTTATTTTACGTAAACAGTATGAGCAATATTATCATTATCACCGAGAGCACTAGTCTAGGACTAGACTGTGCATTTTGAGATTCTTTTCATCCTTCCCTCTCTTTTTTTGTTATATTTTAAGATTTTTTTAAACTTCAGCATATTACAGGGATACAAATGTTTAGGTTACGTATATTTCCCTTGCCCCACCTCAGTCAGAGCTTCAAATGTATCCATCCTCCAGGGGGTGCACACCATACCAATTACATGTACATATATCCATCCCCTTCTCCCCCCTCCCATATGCTCGACACCCAAAGAATGTTATTAATATACATGCAGTTAAATATTGATAAGTTAATGTCAATTTGATGGTGAGTACATGTGGTGCTTGTTTATCCATTCTGGTGATACTCCATTTATTGGAATGGGTTCCAGCTTTATCCAGATTAATACAAGAGGTGCTATATTACCATTGTTTTTTTTGTGGCTTCTTAGAAGAACTCCATGGTATAAATATACTGCATTTTATCAATTCACTCATGTATTTATGGGCACTTGGGTTGTTTCCTCGTCTTTGTAATTGTGAATTGTGTGCTGCTATAAATATTCTAGTGCAGATGTTTTTTATATAATGTCTTTTGTTCTCTTGGGTAGATGCTGAGTAATGGGACTGCTGGATCAAATTGTAGTTCTACTTGTATCTGTTTGAAGTATCTCCATATTGCTTTCCACAGAGTTTGTACTAGTTTGCAGTCTCACCAGTAGTGTATGAATGTTCCTATCTCTCTGCATCCATGCCATACTTTATGTTTGGACTTTTCATAAAGGCGATTCTCACTGGGGACAAGTGTTATCTTATTGTGGTTTAATTTGAATTTCCCTGATGATTAGAGATGTTGAGTATTTTTTCATATGTTTGCTTGCCATTAGTCTATATTCTTTTGAAAAGTCTATCACTTTTTGATAGGGTTGTTTGATTTTTTTCTTGCTGATTTTCCTGAGCTCTATATAGATTCTAGTTATTAGCCCTTTAGTGATGTGTAACATGCTAATATTTTCTTCCATTCTGTACATTGTCTGTTTGCTCTCATGATAGTTTCCTTGGCTGTGCAGAAGCTTTTTAATTGAAACAGGTCCCATTTACGATATTTTTGTTGTTGTTGTTGTGATTGCCTTTGCGGTCTTCTTTATAAATTCTTTGCCTAGGCCAATGTCTATAGGAGTTTTCCCAACATTTCTTCTAGAATTCTTACAGATTCATGTCTTAGGTTTAAGTCTGTTATCCATCGTGACTTGATTTTTGTGAGAGGTGTGGATCGTGTTTTAGTCTTCTACATGTGGCTATTCAGGTTTCCCAGCACCATTTATTGAATAAGGATTCTTTTCCCAAATAGTTTGGTGGCTGCTTTGTCAAAGATTAGATGACTATAGGAAAATGGTTTTATATCTGGCTTCTCAGTTAGTTCTATCGGTCTATGTCTCTGTTCTTGGGCCCATACCATGCTGTTTTAGTTTATAGCCTTATAGTATAGCTTGAAGTCTAGTAAATTGATGCCTCCCAATTTGTTCTTTTTGCTTAAGATTGATTTTGCTTTATGGGGTCTTCTCTGGTTTCATATGAAGCATAGAATTATTTTTATCTAGATCTATGAAAAATAATGTTGGTATTTTAATAGGGATTGCATTAATCTGTAGAACACTTTGGGTAGTACAGATATTTTAACAATGTTGATTCGGCTGGCCAATGAGCATGGTATGATTTTCTACCTGTTTACCTCCACTATATCCTTCCTCAGTGTTTCATAGTTCTCCCTGTAGAAGTCTTTTTACCTAATTAGTTAAATACCCTAGGTATTTTACTTTATTTGTTGCTATTGTGAAGGGTATTGAGTCTTTGATTTGGTTCTCAGTTTGACTGTTGTTGGTGTAATGGAATGCTACTGATTTCTGTACATTGATTTTGTAACCTGAGACTTTGCTGAATTTGTTTATCAATTGCAGTAGTCTCATGGCAGAATCTTTGGGATTTTCTAGATATAAGATCATATTATCAGCAAAGAGCGATAGTTTGTTCTCTTCTGCCCCCATTTAGATGGCCTTGATTTTTTTTCTTGTCTGACTGCTGTAGCTAGGACTTCCAGCACTATGTTGAATAGAAGCAATGATACAGAGCAACTTCGTATGGTTACAGTTCTAAGTGGAAATGCTTTCCATATTTCCCCATTCAGTATGATGGTGGCTGTGATTTTGTCATATATGGCTTGTATCATTTTTATGTAAGTCCCATCTATGCCTATTTTCTTAAGCATTCTTATCATAAAAGGGTGTTGAATTTTGTTGAATGGTTCTCTGCGTCTATTGAGAGGATCATATGATCTTTGTTTTTGGTTCTATTTATGTGGTGAATTACATTTATAGATTTGTGTATATTGAGAGGATCATATGATCTCTGTTTTTGCTTCCATTTATGTGGTGAATTACATTTATAGATTTGTGTATGTTGAACCATCCTTGCATCTCTGGGATGAAGTGCACTTTGTTGTGATGGGTTATTTTTTTGATAAGCACCTGAATTCAGTTTGGTAGGATTTTGTTGAGAAGTTTTGCATATATATTCATAAAGAATATGGTCTGCAGTTTTCTTTTTTTGTTGTGTCCTTTCCTGGTTTTGGTATCAGGGTGATATTGGCTTCATAAAATGTTTTGTGGAGGATTCCTTCCTTATTGATGTTGTGAGTTGATTTCTGCAGGAAAGGCACCAGTTTCTCTCCTTTTTTGTAGGTCTGGTAAAATTAGGGTGTGAAATCATCTGGTTTGGGACTTTTTTTTTGGAGGTTTCTTATGTTTTTCAATTTGAAATACTTGATATTGATCTGTTCTCAGGATTTCAATTTTCTCCTTATTGAAGCCCCTAGGGAGGCTATGTGTTTCAAACAATGTTCCATTTCCTTCCCACATTTTCCAGTTTATGTGGCATAGAGGTTTGGATATATTCATAGATGATATTTTTATAAATTTTTGTGGTATCAGTTTTAAATTCTTCTTGATGCATTCCTAATGAGCTTAATTAGATCCTTTTTTTCTTTTCTCCCATAATCTAGCAAGAGGCACCTCCACTTATGTTTATTGTTACAAAGAACCAAAACCTTTTTTATTAATTCTTCTGTATTCTTGTTATAATTTCATTTAG